CTTTATCAGACACCTTCTTCTTATTTTATATCTACTTATATTCATTTATTTTATTTTCGCTTGTTTTGTATCTTTTGTAGCCCTGATGAAGACCTGCAAAGTGGGTCGAAACGTCGGCAAAAAAATTAAATAATACTATTTGTATAATTTGGTATTAATTTGACGCAGCCCCCGATAAACTCCTTCTCATATTATATAGCATTTCCAAGTCAATTTCAACCTTTTCCAAATCAAATTCAACCTTTTCCAAGTCAAATTAAACCTTTTCCATTTCAAATTCAACCTTTTCCAAGTCAAATTCAACCTTTTCCATTTCAAATTCAACTTTAGAATTTTTGTCAATTTTCGATTTTTTTCGAAATGAAGGCCACTTACTATATTATCGACGGCATAGCTTTTAAAAAATACAAAAAAAAAATTGATTACGCAGTTACATATCCATTTATTTTAACATTTTAGATTTTTTCAGTGTGATATTTCTATGTGATATTCAATTATTTCCAAGTCAAATTCAACCTTTTCCAAGTCAAATTCAACCTTTTCCAGATCAAATCAAACTTTTTCCAAGTCAATTCAACCATTTCCATTTCAAATTAAACCTTTTCCAATTCAAATTCAACCGTTTTCATTTCAAATTAATGTTTTAAGTTTTTGTAAATTTTATATATTTTTTTTAAATAATGGCCATCCCCTCCCCCCCTCCAATATGAAAGTCTATTATTATGCTCTCCTAAGTAGAATTTTCACTTACGGATATCGATTTATTGTACCTATTCGGATTTATTAGGGACTAGTATTATGCTGTCCTGTACCTAGTTTTGAAAATAACCTCCATTTTAAGATTACGTGACTGCGTTTCGAATCATTTAAGTTTTTTTGACAAATTCGATATGTGGGTGTATTTTTATGTTTCCCGATCAGTAAATTTTGAAAATGACATCCATTTTATGTTTACGCCACTGTGTTTTGACTTATTTAAGTTTTTAGAATTTATCCAATATAAAGGTCTACTTTTATGTTTCCGGAGCCGTAGATTTTGAAAACGACCTTCATTTTAAGATTAGGCCACCGCGTTTCGACTTATTTGAGTTTTTCGGATATTTTTCATATGAGGGTGTATTTTTATGTTTCCGGAGCTGTAGATTTTGAAAATGACCTCCATTTTAAGATTAGGCCACCGCGTTTCGACTTATTTGAGTTTTTCGGATTTTTTTCATATGAGGATGTATTCTTATGTTTCCGGAGCCGTAGATTTTGAAAACGACCTCCATTTTAAGATTAGGCCACCGCATTTCGATTTCTTTGAGTGTTTCGAATTTTTATCATAAAAGAGTGTATTCTTATGTTTCCGGAGTCGTAGATTTTGAAAATGACCTCCATTTTAAGATTACGCCACTGCGTTTCGGCTTATTCAAGTTTTTCGAATTTATCCAATTTAAAGGTCTACTTTTATGATGCCGGAGCCTTAGTTTTTAAAACGACTTACATTTTAAGATTAGGCCACTGTGTTTCGGTTTTGTTAAGTGTTTTTGATTTTTCCTTCGAATAAAAAACATAATACGAAGGATTAATTTATTTTTCAATAAATAAATAAAAATATCTAATCAAAATAAATAAAATATGTATTGTCTCATTTTTAATTTAATTTTAGTTATCTTTTCTAATGTTGTGGTCTCCTGTCACAAAATTATAAGATTTCGAACAATTAGCTGAAAAATCTGAATACGGAAGGTTAAATTTATTACCAGTTGCTTTTCGGCTTTTTAGTTTGTATTCTGTGGTTAATTTTACTTTAGCTTCATAATATTTATTTATTTATTCATACTCGAAAACATATTGATGAAACTTTGTATTGAAAAAATCCAAAATGAAGCCTAATTAATCAAGATGCAGCGGCTTAATCATAAAATGGAGCTTAAATATTAGATAAATTTAAATATTAAAGATTAGAAAAATTTCAATACGTCTCGGATAACATATAAGTAGATCCTTATACCGAAAAAGTAAAAAAAAAACTTTTATAATCCAAAACAGTGGCATAAACTTTAAATTGGGTCATTTACAAAATGGGGGAAATCTACTGCTCCAGAAACATAAAATTAGACCTTTATACTTGTTAAATTCTAAAAATTTAAATAAGTTGAAACGCAGTTGCGTAATCATAAAATAGAGGTCATTTTCAGAATCTACGGTTCCGAAAACATAAAAGTAGACCTTTAAATTGGATAAATTCGAAAAACTTAAATAAGTCAAAATGCAATGGCGTCATCATTAAATGGAGGTCATTTTCAAAATCTACGGCTCAAGAAACATAAAAGTAGACCTTAATATTGGATAAATTCGAAAAACTTAAATAAGTCAAAACGCAGTGGCGTAATCATAAAATGGAGGTCATTTTCAAAATCTACAGCTCCGGAAACATAAAAATACACCCTCATATGAAAAATATCCGAAAAACTCAAATAAGTCGAAACGCGGTGGCCTAATCTTAAAATGGAGGTCATTTTCAAAATCTACAGCTCCGGATACATAAAAATACACCCTCATATGAAAAATATCCGAAAAACTCAAATAAGTCGAAACGCGGTGGCCTAATCTTAAAATGGAGGTCGTTTTCAAAATCTACGGCTCCGGAAACAAAAAAGTAGACCTTTATATTGGATAAATTCTAAAAACTTAAATAAATCAAAACACAGTGGCGTAAACATAAAATAGATGTCATTTTAAAAATTTACTGATCGGGAAACATAAAAATACACCCTTATATCGAATAAGTCAAAAAAACTTAAATAATTCGAAACGCAGTCACGTAATCTTAAAAAGGAGGTTATTTTAAAAAACTACTCATACGATAACAGACCCACGCATCGAAAAATTAAAGATAATTAAATAAATAAAAAAAGGTTGAATTTGAAATGGAAAAGGTTTAATTTGAAATGGAAAAGGTTGAATTTGACTTGGAAAAAGTTTAATTTGATTTGGAAAAGGTTGAATTTGACTTGGAAAAGGTTGAAATTGACTTGGAAATGCTATATTATACACTGACAGGCAAAAAATTCCACCCACTTGATTTTTTCATGTTTTCATCTAAAAATATTTCTGCACTTGTAAAAAAAGTTGTATTTGTATATAATACATGGTATTTGTAGATAATACTTAGTATTTATGGAATTTTATAATCTTTTTTACCTTTAATAATCAAAATGTGATTGGGTAAGAAAGATTAGAGAAAAAAAAATTGAAAAACGAACCATTATTATTCTAAAAGAAATTAATTACATCATCGTTTAGTAGCGCGTGTTTCCTCCTCTTGCCTTCACTACTTCTTGAAGACGCCTCGGCATACTTTCCACCAGTCGGGAAATGTCCCTTTGCTGGAGGATAGCCCATTCCTCCCGAAGAGCCCTTTCAAGGTCCTGCAGTGTATCAGGAAGTGTTGCACGCGCTCTTATTCGTCTTCCGAGGTTATCCCATAAATGCTCAATGGGGTTCAAATCTGGAGAACGTGCTGGCCAGGCTAAAACCTCAATATTGTTCTGTTGAAGGAACGTCTGCACTATGCGGGCGACATGTGGGCGTGCATTATCGTGCATTAGAATAGAACGATCGCCGATTTCGTTGAGGATAGGCAACACATGAGGTTCCAAAATCTCATCTACATAGCGAATGGCCGTCAAAGACCCTCCACGAACAACAACCAATTCTGTGCGGCGCTCCATTGAAATCCCAGCCCACACCATTAAGGAACCACGTTGGAAAGGTTGGCTCTGGGAAAAATTACAGGCTGCATATCTTTCGTTTCTTCTTCTCCACACCCTTTCACGCCCGTCTGGAGATCGAAGAGCGAATCTTGACTCATCTGTAAAAAGTACAGCACTCCATTCGTCCATAGTCCAATGGCTGTGTTCTCGAGCAAAAGCCAGCCGTGTTACTCTGTGAGTTCTGGTCAACTCTGGTCCTCTTACTGGACGAAAAGCCATTAATCCATACTCATTTAATCTTCTCCGAGCGGTACGTTCAGAAATTTGCACACCTCGAACTTCTTCGAGCTGATGAATCGCTTGAACAACGGTAAGGTGCCGGTTTCGTAAAATTCTCAAAGTCAAAAACCGGTCATCCCGTGGTTCTGTTACCCTAGGCCGTCCAGAACCGGGCCTTCTATTGTAAGAACCAGTTTCCCGAAAACGCCTGACGGCGTCTCGTAAAGTTTCATATGGAACTCCGATGGCATTAGCTGCATATCTAATGGAACGTCCATCATCAATGAGTGCCACACCACGCGCAACATCTTCAACACTAAGAGGCATTTTTAAACTTAATATTGAAAAAATTAAAAGCCGGAGACTAAGAAATGTGCTGCAAGAAAGGGCACTGAACTAATGATACTGATTAAACATTTTGATTCCATAGAAAGTAAACATTGGAATCTAGAATCATTTCATTGAATTAAGGATTAAGGGTTGTTGTCCTCTATATTAACATTCCTAATTGAAAACAAACAAAAAGATTACCTATTTATTCATTAAAAACAATAGACCAATCCAAAGCAGAAATATTTTTAGATGAAACAATCAAGTGGGTGGAATTTTTTGCCTGTCAGTGTATGTTGACTTATACTGATTCAGGATCGAATGTTATCAAGATTTACTATTGTAATCAGCATTTAATTATTTCTTAAATTAAATATGTTTTATACTTTAATGTAAGGAATTCAATATTTGAGATTTTTTAATCCAAAGCAGTGTAGTCGCGAAATAAAATTGAACTATCATAAAATGAAACTTAATTTAAATAGGTAGCAATTAATGTGAACTTAAGCGTTACATTTAATTAAATTATGTGATCAGAAATATATAACACACTTATTGAATGAATGTTAAGAATCAAGTATTTTTTTTGTAGGTATATACCACTTCTATTTTAATTCGTACTCTGTGATATCTTTATTCAGCATTTAGCTCTATGTATTATTAATTTTTAGCATCTTCTGTTTGGTAACTGTCATTCTAACGGATTTTAATTTTGAATAGTGAAACAAGTTTTTCGAAACTAATTATGGAAAACTGTATGTTTGTTTTTCTTAATTTTATTGTCAGTATTGAATTTTATTTTATTTTTTAACCCTAATTGATGTTGATTTGTTCTGTATAATTACTTTGATTGAAGTACTGCAATGACATTGTTTGATTTTGACTTAAGGAATTTTTATGACATTACTTTTGTCTATTCCTTGTATATACATATATAGTGTGGTGTGTTTCGAAATTTCAGGTCAAATTTAATGTGATATTTTAGACTTATTAATTAAATTGTTCATGGTTTGTTATTGTAGATTCTTATATGTATGTTCTTTCCTAATTTTTTATTCAGCAATATGTATCAATAACTACATTTCTGTATTTTTATTTGCCCCATCAATACATGAAGTGCATCAGTTGATAGTAGCATTTGTTAACATCAAATTATGCTGTTTACTTTATCAATTCATCTTATTCTTACCATTAGTATTGGCTATTTTTATTTATTTATTCCCTTTATATTTTTTATTGAAACTTTTAATTTTATTTCTCTTAATTAGCTACATTTAATTAATTATACCTATTCTCTAGACTACTTTTCACTCTTATTTAAACATTTTCTTATTAATTGCCATTTACTTAAAACTTTTCACTAGTAATAGCTTTTAAGTTTAAGACAATGGGGTTATAATTTTTTAGAATATTTTTTATTCTATAACACATTTTCAGTGCTGACAGATCCCTGTATTGAATACAATAAAATGATGGCGGAAATTCAAGCTTGCAATTCTTTTAAATATTCTGCATATCGTACAGCTTATAAATTGTTAATTCTTCACAAATATCTTGGTTGTGAGTATACAATTTATTTAACTTTTGTGTCCTGAATTTAATTATTATTATTTATTTTTATTATACTGGGTCCTTTAAAAACATCTATTTTATAATGTTTAGTAATATTAGTAATATTTTATTCTTTCAGAGTATACTATGTAAAAATTTTTTTTTTATAAATGGAATTTTTATTTAGATTTTTGTAAACGCTTCTTATACCATCTCCTGAGTTAGTTTCTTACATTTTCCACTGTAGATGGTGATGCTGGGTTCTGAGATGGTTGAATTCGTTTTCTTGTTTTGATGAAAAGTTGAAATGTATGTATAAAATTTAAATGTAATTTGCAAAGAAATTTCCACTTTAAGTAGGTTAATGTGTCTTTTGATTACGTAGCCATGATCCAGTTCAATGAGGTAGTCTAGTTTTCCTAGATCGGTTCCAAAATTTCATCAATATGTGAATATGAGTAATTTCTTGCTTGAACTTTACCACCGGAATATAAAGATCGAATTTTGATTTTTGAATTTGAAGAAACATGTGGTTTTCCTGCCCTTATTACATGCAATCGAGTACTAAGTTATCTGTTTAGTTGGAGTTCAGCTGGAAATTTACCATTTGCTAGAGGAGTTGTTCTGTATTTGAATAAAAATAAATTAAATTTTTGTTTTAAACTTCCCAGCTTGTCATGCATGGCTTTGAGCTTTTGCTTCAAAGTTTTGAATCGTTCTGCTAACCGATTTGTAGCTGGATAATCTGGTGCACAGAAACGTGTTTTTTCTCCTACCCCTCTCACCCTGGTTCACCACCTAGACATTAGGACTTTTGATATGTTCATACTCTAAGCACCCTGAACAAGTTTCTGAAGGAATCGCTCAGGTCCCTGCTCCCGCACTCTACACCCTATTTTTGGCCATTCATTGAATGGACTAACATTATACATTACAGTTTCAAGTAATATATGGTTGTCCTAGGGTATTCAGAGAGAGATTATAACAATTTTTACCTGTATATATAACTGGTTAATTAAATTTTACTCTATTAGCTTTAAATTGTAATATAACTCTCAAACTCAAAAGCCCACTAATGTTATTTTTTTCATTCAGTAGAGAATTTTATACTGTTTTTATAAATACATGTTGTATTGGTTGGGGTATTTGGAGAGATTTTTGCTATAGATAGTTTCCAATATTTTTATCACAATTTTGGAAAAAAATTTATGATTTTGTTTATACATGACGAAAAATTATAATGCTGAAACTTATGGTGTCAGCACATTCTGCATTAAATTTATTACAAATGAATACATTTTGAAAGCTCTAGTTCAATAAATATTAGTTTTACATAAGAAAACCTAACAGATAAATGTTGGTTTTGAGCTCAAAATGTCGTCCCAACTTGAAATATCTCTAAAGTTTAAATGAATTTATACTTCAACTCATAATTCTGAAATTAATACTAATCGTTGGAATTGGGTAAAATTTGGTATTTTTGCTTATTTGTGTATTTATATAATATTTACAAATAATCATTAAGATCTGGAGGGGGGGGGGAGGAGAGGGGAGTGGTTGTCAAGTTGAACTTTTTCTAGATGAATTTGGTTTGGAACGGCCCTTAGTTAAATTTTATATTTCAATTTCGGTTGTTTGGTTGTGAACGGACTCTCCCTCTCCCACTAAACCTTCCCCTCCTCCTCCGTACCGGACCTCCCTTCAAAATGTTAAATTGAATACATTTTTATTTCACTGACTTGTATCAGACCAGATCATAGAAGATATAAAAACAATTGCGTATGATAAAACTTGAAAATTATTTTAGCTTAAAATTTTCAATTTTGGAAAATTGCCAAATTTTGAAAAGCTTTTGTTTGAATTAGGTTTACCGAGCCTATTTTGGTCTCATATTGTAGTAAATTTAATCTAGTTCAAAATGTATTGTAACATCTCTCTTATATTTTACAGATAATAGTAATATAACCTTGGAAGCTCACTACTTACCATTGGGATATTTCCTAAATAAATAAGAGGTTGTTATAATAATAAAAACAATTATAAGAGAATTAATATATTTATTTATCTCAGTTGTGGATTACTGACAATCACATCAACTCAGACAAACTATTATTATTTACACATTTATACTAAAATTAAACACTGATTTTAAAATAAAGTCAAGCATGGATTGGCAAGCTAACCTTTTTTCTATATACACTGTTCCTTCCTTTGTTGCACTAAATTCATTTGTCTTCAAACATTTTCCTAAGTTCTGCCAAAAACATCTTCCAAAATGGTAATACTATTACTGGGTTTCACCCACTGGAGCCAGGATTCTATCTCCTATCCTCTCTTCACTACAGTCACACAACAACTGCTTGCCAAAAGCAAAAATCTTTGTCCCTCTCCTCTTTGGGATTTTCCTTCTCGGGAAACTACAGAGTAGCCATTTTCTTTTCCCTGCACTAGTAGAACTAGATTAGCTTGCCTTTTAATTGTTCAACATTAATTTATTAAATCGTTTTTACCCACTTCCAATAAAGGTGTATATTGCAGTATACAATATTTGTTGTCTATAACGTGCCCCTTCATGATCAAAACGGTGAAAAACTGATAAAAGTGCAAAAATAAATCAGTTATTGGCATATTCAAAAGTGATCAGGGTGGCTGCCGAGTTGGAAAACTTGAATTTTGCATCTCGGCACCATCCTGAGCAAAAAAAAAAAAATAAATAAAAATAAAACTTTCTACCAGCAATTGATGGAACTTATATCCCTCTTTTCATGACAAGGTTACTGAACTATTAAAGAGACAGTGTGGGGGTGCGACTAGGTGACAGCATATTAGTGTTGTTATAATTGTGGGAATTATATAAAATGTAAATAAAATATGGAAATTTGTATGAGTATATTAGTATCCAGGTCTTCTGATTTATACATAAGGGCACACCGAACCGCTGCTTTCGACAGATCGTTCATTATCCGATCCTCTATGGAACTCCATCCCTTCCCACATCTGTCAATCCAATACCCTTCCTACCTTTAAATCCCGCCTGGTCAATCATTTCTTATCCATCCAGTCCCCATAAAATTATAAAAAGATACCACTGTAAATAAGTATATAAATTATTAGATCTTTCTTCATTATTTTCAATTTTTTATTATTAACTTATTAAGTTAGAAAATAACTTATAATTTTTTATTATGACTATTTAATTACTCAGCATTTTTTTTTATGTATCTCTGAGGCTCCTTAGCCCTCATTTCTGTCCTGTATTATTCTAAAGGGCTCGTCCCAGAATAAATAAAGCATTATTATTATTATATTAAGGTATAAGAAAATGTAAAAAAAAAAAAAATTGTAAATATAAATAAACTTTTGGGCATGGATGATTATTTTTCCTTTTAGATAGTTGGAAAATAATTGTTTTATAAAATCCTTATGACTGATAACAAGCTTCACCACTTAAAATGCTATATTTCAATGTTCTGTTAAGGATTGTAATTGGTAAAGCTTGTTTTCGGTCTTCTGAATATTATGAATGCTTACCATTTCACCTTACAAACTATATTACAATGACCATTTTAAATAAGTTATTTAAAATAATACATAAGAATTATTAAGAATATTATTATTTTCTTATTAATAATAGCAAAATAATTGTTGATATATCCATTTAGGTATGTAAAGTAATATTAAACATATGGTTGGTAAGATTTTTGGAGGTTGTAGTCACATTAAAATAATTTTTTTTTTCAATTTGGCTGCAACATCCAATATATGTTTTATAGTAAACTATTTCTTTTTACACGTTATTTTTATCTACTATTAAATTATAATGTAAATAAAATTGTTTCTTGAACAACAAATAAAAAAACATGCATCACACAGCTTTCACTTATCACCCTCCTCTTACCAAAATAAGTATTTTCAGACAAAGAGGAAGTGAAAGTAAAAATTATTGACACTATATTTATTTACAATTCAGTGTGTGTATTTTTATTTGTTTAAATACCCTTATATATACAAATTTTAATTTTTATATCGCTGTATTCTATACAATTAAATATTAAATAATACCAACGATAGCATTTATGAAAACTGCATATGTATATGAACATAATATTGTTGGAGTCCGTATTATGTGAAGCTCATGTTACGTATGGAAGCCTGCTGTAACCTTCCGGGTGAGCTTGGGCAAGCTCGCATTCCTTTGAATCTTCTATTACAACTATTATCCATTACGATCTCTTATTTCTCCTTCAGTTAATTATCAAATTCTGTCATATTTTATGTTTAACTATTTTTTATATCAAAGTTTAATGTGAAATGGTTAATAATTTCTAATAAAAAAATAATAATGGTAATTTGGAGGAAGCTATAATTGAAAATTAGCCATTTAAGCCCTGATAGAGAACTTCAATGGGAATAAAACCTACATTATACTAAAAACTACTTAATAATACACTGATATACTGAGTTTAATCAAAATCGTTGGAGCCGTTTTTGAGAAAATTGTAAAAATGTGTTAAATTGATTATATGAAGTACCACTTTTGGTTTGCTGATTTTGACTAAAATGTTGCTGTAACATCGCTGCTGTAAAGCTTGTAAAATGTTGCTGTAAAGCTTATAAAAACCTTAAATATGAAATTTAACTTTCATACGACTTTTCGTTTTTGAGCTAGACTGATAACATACATATACACACACACACAGACCATTTTGCGGGACTTGGTTATTTGGATTCAGGAGACCTCGAAACATGTATTTCCTCTGAAAAATCAGAGTCAAAATTTTCTCGATCGTAATACTTACCCTTACTATATATTGCATATATAGAAGGATGCTAATCGACTGCTTTACATATCATGTGTGATAAATATTCAGTACGCAGTCATTATATTATGAAACTATTTTTTTTTTTTTATTTGTGACGACGTTTCAACCCAAACATGTGGGTCATCATCAGGATGTGGTTCGAGCACTTGAGGCATTTCAGTACTCCCTGAAGTGCTTGTGCTTGCAGTGCTCGAAACACGCCCTAATGATGACCCACGTGTTTGGGTTGAAATGTCGGCACAAATAAAAAAAAAAGTAAGCCTACAGTGCTATAAGCAAACTATATGGATTTATAAGCTTCATCAGCACCAATCTCAGTTTTTTTACTTTCACTTACCTATATATGCAATCATGGGTGATAAATATTCAGGACGCTGTCATTATAATTTTTTTTTTTATTTGTGCCGCCGACATTTCAACCCAAACATGTGGGTCATCATCAGGACGAACCACTAAATGAAGCCCACCAAACAGTACCTTTTTTTGATGGGTTGGGAGCTTTGGAAAATGTTCTGCTGCTTCTCCTTTGTCGGGCCAGTTTCTAGAACATCTACTGTTATCGTAAAGTATCCACTTATTTTCACAAGTAAAAATTCTAGACAGAAAAGAGTCATTTTTGTTTTGGCAAAGAAGTGTAGCACAAACTTCATAATGCTGGTTTTTTTTTTTTACGGTTGTTTAATGTGTGTGGAACTCTCTTCTTCTCAGTATCCTGCATTATTTTCCAGACAATCCAATAACTACTATTATATTACCTTGGGTCATAATACATTTACATTTTATCACAATCATTATTATAATCCTTTTTATATTAATATTAATTTATAACATGAAAAATTGTTCTAACTTCAACAAGATTTAATTTAACAACTTTAATTTAATTAGACCAAACCTCTTGGTGACCAACTTTTTTGTCCTTCATTGCCCACTTTGTCAAAATTCAGCCCACAGACCTTCAGGAGATAGTGACCCCAATATAAAATTTATTTTCTTCTTATAATATTATTCTAATATGTCTATTAATATTTCTGTTGTAGTTCAAAATGTTTCTTTGGATTTGATTAAAGGAGTGTTCATGAAGTATCAGATTCATTCTACTGATAATTATTTGGTGTTAAATCCAGAAGAAACAGAAAATCTTTTGTATGATATATTTTTTGCTGCCTCCAAGCAACATGGATCTAACTTTAACTTCCAAATGTTTTTAGAATTGACTAAAATGTTCTTGAAAAACATACCTATGTAAGATAATTGATATTTTACTTTAGTATAGAACTTATTGTTTAGTAGTATTTTATTGCTTTCAAGCTTTTATAGTTCAATCTTAATTTTTTGTTGAGAAATCATTGTTTTCTAAAAAACATAGTAGTCCATTATTATATGGAATATTTGCTTGATTTAAAATCAACCTTGACTTTTATTTTTAGTCCTTGGAGGGAAGCTTAGATTATAAGTTATAAGATCTAATATCCCTTTTATTATCTAGACTGACATATTTCCACAATAATCCTTTATTATCTATGTAAATTGATTTGTCAATTTATCAAAATCAAAATCCTATCAAAATGGTGAAAATAAAATTTAAATGTTAGTCTATCAAATCTTCATTAACTATGATAAAATTAACAGTCAATCTTCCTGTTTCTATAAGTCTGAAAAATGGATATGGTCAAGTTAAAGTAAAAATAAAAAACAGTCATTTCAAGCTTCTAATGACATTTTTCGTTAGTTTTTAATTGTTTCCACATAGAGCTCTGCCAAGCCATTAGATTGAGGATGCTTTGGGTTGATCATAGTGTGTTTAAAATCCTATTGCTTCAAAACATTTCGGCAAAACTGACAAATTGAGTTCCTTATTCTGCAATAACCTCACATGGTACTTTGTAAGTTGAGAAAAATTTTTAACCTAATTTATAACTCTTTATAACTCTACTTGCTCTGAAACCATTTAGCTTAACCACTGAACAAAATTTGGAGTAATAATCCACTATAATTAAATATATCTATCTATCAAGCTTAGCCTCAATAAGCTTACTCTTAAATGCAGACAAGTCCAAAGCTATCATGATTGGATCCTCTTCTCTCCTTAAATTCTTCCCAGGGCAGCCTTAACTTACATAAATAGCACTCCTATCCCATTCTATATGTCAATCAATAACCTTGTAGTCATATTTGACCATAGAAACAACGTATCTACCAAATTTCCCGCCAAACATATCAACTCTGAAGCAATTTAAATCACCAATTTTGTCTCCTCCCATGTAAAACCCGTCAACTCTTAGTCTCATCTCTTGTGTCCTCCACTTTGACTGTGGCTTTGTGTTCGGGTGACTCTATGATGAACTTGAAGCAAGACTTAGGCTGACTGGCATCCGAAAACGGAGTTGAGCTGAGCTGAGTCAGCTTCCAAAACTGAATGAAAGGTTTTTAATGAAAGCGAAGCTGAACGCAGTTGAGCGGCGTCACAAGGGTCAGCTCCTCTGAGCTTTGACTTGACCGAGGTTTGGTTTCAAAGCTACGCTCAGCTTTTCCCGCCACACCTATTCTCCACTGCTTCTCAAACGTGTGGCTTTGTTCCTCATTGTCATCCTTTCTTTCAACTTGTTCTCTCTGCACAACCTCTCAAATTATTTTATTTTGGTTCAGTGTAAAATATGCAATGGATGTGGAAGAATTCTTAATCGAATGTGTAAGGGAAAATATTTGATTTTATACACAAATATTCAATTTTTCAAGTGTGGGAAGAAGAAGTGGAAAGACTCAAGACAAGAAAAGTACCAGGGAGAGATGGCATTGCCCCTGAATTCATAAAATATGGAGGGAAAAGTATAATAGGTGTACTTCAAGCTCTATTTCAAAAGGTTTATGAAGAGACAAGGATACCCAAGGATTGGGAATATAATATAATTATACCCATATTCAAGAAAGGGAGTCAGAGTGAATGCCAAAACTAGAGGCCTATCTGTTTGTCTCAGGTTGTATACAACCTGTATACATCGATTCTTGAGAGAAGATTGAGGGGCTTGGTGGAAAGGAGAACAGGCAGCTTTCAGACCAACAAGACCATATCTTTGCTCTAAGGACAATTATAGAAAAAGCGTTAGAATGTGACAAAAATATGTATTTGGCCTTTTTATATGTAAAAGTAGCTTTTGATTCGTGCCAAGGGAAGAAATATAGAATGCATTGAAAAATAAGAACATCCCAGGAGACCTTATCCAAGCAATAAAATTGATATATAAAGATTCTAAGGGTATAGTATAAGGATCAATGGGAAGGAATCAAACAGCTTTAATATAGACAAAGGGGTCAAACAAGGTGGCAGTCTCAGCCCCCTACTATATATTGTGTTTATGGATGAGATTCTGAAAATTTGTAAAAGTAGGACTGGAAGAACAATTATAGGAAAATGGAATATGAGAACAATTTTAGCCCAAGCTCTCGTTTACGCAGATGATGTCCTCATAACAGACTCATCCACAAAATTACAGCAAGCAATTATGGAATGGGAAGCTGAGCTTGAGAGAAAAGGTATGATTATAAGTGAAGTAAAAAGTAAGATTATGCAGATAGGTCAAGAAATCGAAGACATACAAATAAACTGTAGGGGTAAGAATCTGGAGTTGATAGAGGAATATACATACCTAGGGACAGTTGTTGGTAGAAATGGAAAAATAGACCAAGAGATATCAAACAGGATCAAAAATGCAAATGGCATCTATTACCAGTTCTGCAACGCGGTCATAGGAAAACGAGAGGTTGAAAATATAACTAAGATCCATATATACAATACACTCTACCTTCAAACCCTACTGTACGGTAGTGAGAGCTGGGTCCTCGGAACTCGAAGATAATCATCCAGAACGAACGGATTATAGAAAATGTTAAGGTGTCACCAATGCTGAAAACCATGGAAAAGAATACTCTCAAATGGTTCGGTCATGTTATGAGGATGGACGAGGACAGGGATCCCAGAAAATTTCATGAGGCAAGACCCATATAAAAGAGACCAAGAGGACGTCCATGGAAAACTTGGATTGACGAAATAACCAAGCTCCAGTACCAACCAGTTGGGTTATATGAGAGACCGTGATCACTGGCGTAAGTGGGTAGAGACCCCTCCACGCTGAAAGGCACTAAGGATGAAGAAAAAGAAGATATTCAATTTTTCTCCGACATTACCAACAATTTTTTAAAAATGTTATACATGCTATATATATTTTTTAAAAATTTTCTACGGAATATGAGAAGGATATTGATATTGATGCAAGGCAAGTTGCTGACTGAGCTGGGATCCACTACCCAATCGGTTGTTGACCACCTCTGACTCCACTCCTCTCAGCTCAGCTTAGCTCTGTTTTTGGTGACCGATCATCCTTGAATGGCTTATGAACTACTTAGTTAGTTTTGTTTTGGGGGTCACCAGGGATACCTGTATAACCCAGTATTATGTAGAGCTGAAGTGGCTCTACCCATTTTGCAGGTATCAATATTTTCTTGCGTCTTTACTATACCAAGTTATCAGAACTCATTACCCATTCTAAATATTATAGAGCCATCCAATCTCATCCTTCTGATTTCTACTCTCCTCTCCATCAAATTGCTGTGGGACATTTGGCAAGTCCTTCCAGACGCGAGCTGCCTCCCTCTGGAACTCCATCATGCCTTTCATTCGTCATGGTTTAATGGTTTTATCATTTAAATCCCTCTTTTTAGCCCAGTCTAATTAATATTATCCATTCTCTTATATTTCGAATGTTTCCCATATTACTCTTTTCCACATATTTATTATTATTATTTTTTTAATGTTGTTTTGTTTTTTTACTTACCATCTACATTTTCTTTTTCTTTATTTTATATTTGTACTTATTTTTATTCTTATCAATGAATACAGATCTACATTTATTATAATACGGTACGGCCACACTCTTTTGGCCACTATATAATGTTCTTCTGATTTTATTTTAATAGGACTTTGTAGCAGAATAATAAAGAAAGTTTTCATTTTTTCTGGTGTTCTTTCTCCTTTCTCCAGGGCCTTTCATCAACTTCTCACACTGCCATTGACTCTTTTGAGATTTACTAAATTTCTGATATATTTCACAGGATTTTATCACATTTCTTTTATCATTTTTCATACCTAGACAATAAAGGCATCCTCTAGCCCTTAAAATACACTTATGTAACTCTTGATGAGCATAATGGATTTTCTATATTATCACTTTTCTAAGGGATTTTTATACAACTGTTTGACATCCTTTAAATATATCTTCACTTTAAATATATAATCCTCTCATATCTTCACAAAACCTGAGCTCATCTTTGACTAATTTATGTTCTCTAAGTAAGGGTTCACCTGCCGTCGGGAACCCTTCCTCAATTCAGTTCTTTACAGCACACAGTCAATTGTCCTTTCTTGTAGTATCCTGAAAAATAGATTGTTTTCCTTCAGCAATCGGCGTACTTCTTATCATTGCTACTACATATGCTTCCTGTTTACCATACGCATCTTCTGTTTCTTTTGGCAGGAGCTTTTAATAAGGCATCTGCCATCCGCATTTCAATTTAATGTTTTATTCGCACAAATATTTTTTTTGCAGTTTTAATAACATATCTTATAACTTTGGTGGTGGGCACAAGTGTATAGGTTTTTTCATAAATCTCTCATAAGGCTTATAGTCCAGTTCAACTTTGAATGTTTTCTCAATATTTTAGCTGTGAAATAAAAAACTGCTAACATTTCCTTTTCAATGTTAGCATATTCATATCTACTGACACAATGACAGGTAATCTGTAATTTTAATACCTTAAAACTGGCTCTGATATTAATGACTTATTCTGGCCGTCAAAAGCTGTTTGTTGAGCTTCTTCCCAGTGCCATTCAACCTCTTTTTATAGCAGTAGTCTCAAGTGAGCAGAGATATGGGCTAAATTTTTTTTTATGAACTTCCCCAAGTAATTAACCACACAAAAAAATCTCTTTTTTAGATTTTTGAACTGCCATATTCTCTACCACCCAAAATTTTTCTTTACGTGATTAAATAAACGATGCGAAAATATGCTTTTCAGATAAACGATTCTTTATATATACTACTTCCTATATTCCAAACTTTATTTGTTTCCTATGAAATTGAATGTTATTTTCTCTTGCTCAGTCTAACAAATCCATCAAATTAGTATCATACTCTGCTCTTGTTCTTCTTCCGACCAATATGTCATCAACATAAACATTGCATAAAATATGTCTGGGGAACTACTTATTCCAAAGTGATGAGGGAGGAACTTATAGTAACTCCAGAGTGAATTAAAAGTGCACAAATCTGAGCTCTCCTCATCTAGTTCCAGTTGCCAAAAACCTGACATAACATCTTTTGGCAATCCAAATGTAACCCTTTCCAAGTGTAATATGGCCCTTTTGATATCAAAAGTAACTTTTTTTCATTTCAAATGTAACCCAATCTAGTTTGAATTTATTTTAAAAAATAATGATTTTAGCTTTTATAATAATTTTATAAGGCATAGTACCTCTTGAAACACACCGGGAGCAACTGGCCATTACGCTCTATGAAAGGCTAAAACGTCTTAAGATCAACTACTGGAGTACCTATGAACCCGCACCTGAACGCCTTAAAACTCAAATTACTTTTACTAAGGCAGTGGAAGATTTGATAGAAAGAAAAGGACTAGAATTAGCTGAAAGGGAGCCACTCCCGTCATTGACACAAGTTCCATTCACCAGCCAATTTGTTGTTCACTGTGATCTTCTTCAGAATGTTTCTAAGGATACAACACCAATTTACGAACAAAAGGCTATAACCCTAGAAACCAACGGAAAACGATTTCCAGAGACAGAATGGCTCCATGTATATACAGATGGTTCTGCAGTGGAAGCACGCAAACATGCCGGAGCTGGTGTTTATTCAAAGGAGTTTCAACTTTCCGCCCCGGTCGGAAAGGTAGCCACAAACTTTGAAGGGGAAGTGAAAGCCATTCTCTCAGGCCTTGAGATGTTAACTGAACGGAAAGACAAGAAAGTGGCTTTCTTTGTTGACTCACAGGCAGCCATTTTGTCCCTAAAAAATGGATATAGTATAAATCCAAATGTTCCTAAATGCCATCAATATTTGAACCAATTAAAGGAAAATGGGACAGAAGTCGCTTTCCAGTGGATACCAGGCCATTGCGGGCTCCACGGAAATGATGAAGCTGATAAACTGGCCAGAATAGGTTCTGGAATGATGCAACCCGATATTCCTCTGACCATGGATTCAACAAAAAGAATCATAAAGCAGACCCTCCAAAGTTCACTGAAAGCGAAATATGTACAAACAATTGAAGGGAAACAATGGAGTGGATTGCTGGAAGAAAGTGGCAGGATTCCTAGAGACCTTCCTAGAGGGCAAGCCGTGGCATGCTTTAGAATGCTGACAGGCCACGATTTTCTTCAGAAGCACCTCCACCGCATCGGTGTAAAAGATAGCCCGACATGCCCTCTATGTTCCTTAGACATAATGACAGGAGAACATCTGGATACATGCCCTGCATTACAGGACATAAGATGTTGCTTTAATGAAATGGACAGCTATTATACTCGGAGAGCAAAATCGTATTGGACTGCAAGAGCACGCATGGCTAACGAAGCAGTCGTTACTTAGGCGTAGGGAAAAAAAAAAAAAAAAAAAATTTGAAAATTATTTCTGCATATTCTTTCGATTTACATATGGTACTTGATAAAAAGTATTATCAATTGTGCTATTTTTAAGTTTTTGTAGTAGTTTCATCTTGACATTTATTTGTTTTCTATTATTATTATTTTTTTAGTATTATAAATTTCATCAATATATTGTTCATTAGATTAATGAAAAGTGCTAATGCCAAGTTTACCATATGATTTTGATTTGTTCGTGAGCGTTGTGAATAATTAATACTGGAGTATGGATTTTTATGTAAAATAAAAATTAAATGTTTATATTGTATAATTATGTAATATAATAAAAAAACAAAAAAAAAAAACTGTACCACTACAACCCATGAAGTGTTTTGAGTTCAGTACTTTGTTAGGAAGTACCGTTTCAAGACCAACGATTTTTCAGGGAGGTGATCAGATCAGGATCTCGCTCAATTATTTAATTAAGAGTATTCACTTTATAGAGGCTGGGTGTGCCTCAGTCTCCTTACCCAGGATCGATCCTCGGCTGATGAAAAATTAATTGACATCATTTTGATTCAAAACTTGGAACCTTGAGCTTAACAGCCGAGTGCCTAACTCACTGTGCTACTCCACTCCAAATATAACAACAGCGATATATATTTACTGATAACTATCGGAAATCTCATTTCTCATTGAGTTTAATATCACATCCGTCTAATGAAGCCTTGAAAAGCATTAAAGTATCACCATTTAATTACATGTAATATCAAATCATTCCTAGTTGAGTGTCGTGTCCATCTGGGCTATTCTTTATTGTGGTGAGCTGATTATATCTCCTAGAAAACTGGGATGTTTATAACCATTTGAAAGCTCATAGCTTATAATTAAGACTTTTCTGTCATCATGTGAAGTATATTATAGTTATTTAAAAATCCTTTTATTCTTTGCTAACATCAATGTATTTTATTTTCAGAAATCAGAGAAATTCTAATACTGTATTATTTTTGAAGGTGGTATTGATTTGTCTTTCAACCTCATCGTTACAGGCCAAATATCAATACTGGTTCTCACAGTTGGTTGATCATAACCTTTGCTTACCAAGAAGAAGGCTTCAATTATTGCTTCAAATACTTATGATGATTACTGAATATTTATCAGAGTCTAACACTTTTTCTGAAACTTTGATTCAACCTACGCTAGATTCATGTTTTACCAAGGTACTGTTCAACATATTTTATATGTGCATTATGCATATGTGTGTACACCTGGGTAAGTGGGTTGTTGTGGGTACATGTTTACACTGTTTTATTCTTTGAATATATTTGTAATTTTTTTTCTTGCCATATTCTTCAGCTATGTTATAATTCAAAGTATATAAGGGTAAATATGAATAGATTGCCACATGGAAAGTAACAAAGATTGAGTTTAGCTTACATGAATAGAAAATTTATTGTTTGCTATAAAAGTATCTGTACACAAAATTAGCCAACTATGAGATATTTTAGAAAAAAATATAAATTTAATGATATTAGATCTTCTATTCACATAAAAATTACTTAGATTAATTAATTGATCACTTACCTCCGGTAATTAATAGTTTATAGGGAATGGAGGAAGAATAAAAATACTCCATAGGTTATCACATGTACACTGCTCAAAAACCTAATAGAGGACCATGTAGTTATTTATAGATGTTTTTTACTTTTAGCCATTAGTGGTCAACCGATACCGATATTAATATTGGCCTTCGTCTTTTCTTTTTTAGTTTCACTATTTTTTATTTTTATTTATCTTACCCTCTTCCGCTCTTACCCTCATCCGAATTTGAGAAGATACCGATATTCTAACAACTGATATATCGAGACTCATAAAGTTTAACTTGGAATGTAATTTGAGAAAAGATCGCTGTACCAGCTTTACAAACTTGAACAAAAATGTCTATGAGAAAAAAATTTAAAATTTATTTATTATTTTTTTGGTTCTCCAGATTCCCTAATTTGAGTAGATATTGATATTCCAAATAACGATATATCAGCCTCACATCCTTATTTGATCAAGATTGGTAGACTTTGACCATTTTTCATGAATTTTTTTTGTTTTTACTTTCACTTACCTGTATATGAAATATGTAGTAAGGGTAAATATTGCTATCATGAAAATTTTCGAATCTGAGTTTTCAACAGAAATAAATATTTTGAGGTCTCCTGAGTCAAATAACCAAGTCCCTCAAAATGGTCTGTGTGTGTGTATGTATGTGAACAATCTAGCTCAAAAATGAAAGGTCATACGAAACTGATATTACATATTTAAGATAGGTATCAATGCTCCTTACTTTGTCACTAATAAAATTATCCATAAAGATCGTAATATTCCTTATGTTTCAGATCTGGTCCAATCCAGATACCTATCCTTCCATGATAAACTTCAGAATCATCCCAACCCTCTCGTTTCTAACCTTGCTTCCTCTTCAATTCCTGATAACCCTCCGAGGCGTCTGAAAAGAAGATGATCTAATGTAGTCATATCATTAGAGTGCTACCATTGGGTAGTTACTCAGCAAGTGTATTCATGTCATTATATCTATTATGTCCAAATTTACTTGATGTATTTATGTAATACAGTTGTAAATGTCATTAAGAAAAAAAAAAAAAAAAAGATAGGTATATGCCTTAGATGTTACAGCAACTTTTTCCTTAAAATCGGCTAACCAGAAATGCCACTTTATATCAACAGTGAAACACATTTTTACAATTTTCTTAAAAATGGCTCTAATGATTTTGATTAAACTTGGTGTATCATTGTAGAATTAAGTGGTCTTTAATATCATTTAGGTTTTACCCCCATTGATGTCACTTCACAGGGCTTAAATGCCCAATGTTCATATACAGTGATGGAAAAAAGTATTTGCACATCATGTTTTTATGAATAAATGAGTTCAAGGAACCAAAATACTTCGTTTTCCTCTGCAAAAATGAAAAGTACATTTGTTAAAACCTGAGAAAAACCTTTTGGAAAAAAATGACTACACTCCATAATGAAACAAAAAAAATTAAAACAACAAAAGTGCTTGGAAAAAAGTATTTGCACACCATGACTCACAAGCTCTGTTTACTTTGGCATTAATCCTCCTGTGTCCATAGGTCATAGGTTTGTTTACTAATTTATCTCTAATCGTGTATTACCAGTATTCTCTTGTCTTTCAATCAGTTTCCTTTAGTCAATAGACAATTATCATGCCAAAGACAAGTGAACTGTGTGCCGCAACTCGCGAAAAAAATTGTTTTACTGAGGAGTCAGCAAAAAACATATCGCCAAATTGCCGATTTCTTGGGGTTGAATTTTTCTACAGTGAGATACGTCATAAAAAGGTATGAAGACCATGGTTCAACTGAAAACAGTGAGTGTAAAGGGCGTCCAAAAAAGTTAACTCCCAGGCTGAAGAGGAAAATCAGAAAAGAAGCTCTTAAAAATCCTCTGATAAGTTCTCGGGAGCTGGTTACCATGGTCCAATCAACGCCTGGAGTTCAGATTACTAGCAGAACAATTAGATATGCCATGAATTCGGAAGGGCTCCATGGTAGAGTTCTAAGAAAAAAGCCATACATCAGTGAAACGAATCGCAAAAAGCGCCTTGCTTTTGCTAGTGAGTACGTACAGAAACCCTTAAGCTTTTGGGAAAATGTCATATTTTCTGACGAAAGCAAATTTAATTTGTTTGGTTCAGATGGTCGAAGGACGATATGGCGACATCGTAATGATGAAGCCCTGAAGAAGCAAAATGTTTTAACAACTGTAAAACATGGTGGAGGACATGTTATGGTTTGGGGGTGTGTTTCCTACCATGGCGTTGGAAATCTTGTGAGCATCGAAGGCATTTTAAATGCGGAAAGCTATGTGAACAATTTGCGTCGTAATTTGCGTGTTAGTGCCGAAAAAATAAGAATCCAGGATCAGTACTATTTCCAGCAGGACAACGATCCAAAACATACTGCGAGGAGAACAAAGGAGTGGTTAATATTTAATGTTCCAAGACAGCTCCACACTCCTCCTCAGTCTCCAGATATAATTATCATTGAAAATTTATGGCACACCCTTTACCAAAATGTAAGAAAACACCATGTCACTAGTGGACGTCACCTTAAACAACTTCTTGTTCAAGAATGGGAACAAATAAACGTAGATTTAATTAAAAACCTAGTGCATTCAATGCCCAGACGTCTACAAGCAATTATTGATGCAAATGGCCTATTTACAAAATATTAAAACTATTAAAATTTAAAATAAACTTGTAAATGTGGAAGTGTGCAAATACTTTTTTCCAAGCACTTTTATTGTTTTAATTATTTTGTTTGATTATGAAGTGTTTTTATTTTTTTGTAAAAAGGTTTTTTTCAGGTTTTAATAAATTTACTTTTCATTTTTGCAAAGGAAAGCGAAGTTTTTTGTTTCCTTGAACTAATTTAATCGTAAAAACGTGTTGTGTAAATACTTTTTTCCATCACTGTACATCTTCCTCTAAAGTACATTTTATAGGGTTTATTTTAAAAAATAACTCTCTTTTATTAACAGTAACTATAAAAAATGGCTGAATATGAAGTTTGAAAGAATATGATAATTGAATACTGGAGAAATAAAGAAAAATGCTTAATCAGGTTGAAAATGAATCCCCGGAAATAAGTCAGAAGGCATGCGTATAATATATTGTTGGAAAGTGGAGAGTTAGAAATATCACTAAAATGACATTATTCAAAAATGATGAAATTGGAGTTAGCCATTTTGTCAACTGAAAGCCCCAGAGACTGAAGTTATGTGGTTTATAAAACTAGATTTTTACTGCCCACCGTCGATATAATAAATAGACTTTTTGTAATTTTAATGATCTTAATGATATAATGTTATCTATAAGCTTAAGCTCTGCTTAAAATGCACTTACAAAAATTTATAATAGCCCAACATTGCCAGAAAATAATTTCTATTAAGTAGAGGGGTAAGTGAAAGTTGTGTGTTGCGCTCACCAGATTTTTTATTTATTATTATTATATATTATTTTTTGGTACTTAGCTTTTCCTAATTTGAGCAGATACCGAAATTATGACTCTAGGACTTTAACCGATATGTCAGCCTAAGATTTTCTTTATTTGGCATATTTATTAGCAACAAAAATAGTTATAAAAAAAAAATTAAATGAATAATTTCGGCATTGGTCGATCCCTAGTAGCCATACTCTTGCATTTTAACAGGTAATTCAACTGATTAAATTATTGAAGGAAGCTAGTCAACTGTTCTACATATACATATCATGGATGATAAATATTCAGGACGCAGTCTTTTAAAAAAAAATTTAATTTTTTATCTGTGCCAACGTTTCAACCCAACCATGTGCGTCATCTTCAGGGTATGGTTCGAGCACTGAATGCTTTCAAGTACTGAATACTTAAAAATTTTTTTTTTAAAGTATGCGTCCTGAATATTTATCATCCATGATTAAATTATTCTTTTTTTTTCTAATGGAGAACGATTTTTGTCTTGAGAGAGAGAAAAATACTTGTAACAACCATAAAACAATACGAATATTTGATGTAATTCACAAATTGTACTTTAAATGTATAGGACTTCAATGGAAGTGTTGGACCAGCTTAAATAAAAAAGTATACTTTATGTTCTTTATATAAAGGGACTTTTCTACTAGGGATATTGGTATTCATTATATTTCAGCTGCCTTTCATCATATTTCTCTATTTCCTATCCAACATGACTAGTATCCTGACCTCTTGTCATGTTAATTCACAATCCTTACCAGCCCATTTCGACGAATTTCAGCAATATTTTACCTGCAATTTTTACCATACTATTGCAGTTTCCAAAACATGGCTAAAACCCCACATACCTTCCTCTTCCGTTTCCTTACCCGATCACACCTTTATCCGCCATGACCGGATAACACGAACGGGTGGTGGTGTGGGTCTTTATGTCCATATTAGCCTAAAATCCGTGTGTGTGTGTGTGTGTGTGTGTGTGTGTGTGTGTGTGTGTGTGTGTGTGTGTGTGTGTGTGTGTGTGTAAGTGCGTGCGTGCGTGCGTGCGTGCGTGTGTGTGTGTGTGTGTTTTTGTGTGTTTGTGTGTGTGTGTGTGTGTTTGTGTGTGTGTGTGTGTGTGTGTGTGTGTGTGTGTGTGTGTGTGTGTGTGTGTGTGTGTGTAAGTGCGTGCGTGCGTGCGT